GGGCGATCCTGTCACGGGGGCGCAGCGAGTCCCAGCACAGGCCTGTATTCGCACGGCGCAGCCCCGGCGCGCTGGGACTGTTCTCACCCGCTCACAGGGGAGGTCTCAGTGGGGAACAGGGAGTGCGGGCAGCTTCACTGAGAAGTGGCCGCTGAACTGAACCCCGCCGAGTGAGCAGGAATTCCTCAGGTGAAGGAAGCAGGACCGCATTCCAGGCAGAGGCAAATGTATGTGCCGAGGCCTGGCGGTGAGGACGAAGATGCAGGGAACATGCTCTGCATCCCAGACGCAAGTCCCTATGGCACAAGCGCAGCTCACTGCGGTGTCACAACCTCCCTTCCAGGGAGAAAACAGGTTTGGAGGCTGTGTGTCTGTCAGGCCTCCAAATAGAAAGCTGAGGCTGGGAACCACCAGGTGTGGGGAGCCCACCCTAGGGCTCTGAGAAAGGACCATGTGGGGAGCTGGTGGGAGAGTACGAACTGGCCAAAAGTGTGGGACACGCTCCAGCTGGTGAAGGTCCAAGCTGCTGATATCAGTGCCTAGGAGCACCAGCCTGGCCTCCCCATCAGGCCAGGAAGCGGTTGGTACTGCTCTGCAGATGCTCTGGGTCCTCTTGCCCCATATGCCTAGCTTCTGTGACCACCCTCATAAGCATCTCTCCCATGTTCAGGCAGGGCCTCAGAGGACGGAGCTAATGGGAACCGCCAGGGCAGAGGTGGGCTCCCCCATCAGGCTTTGGGGTCTGTTTGCTCATTAGGAACATGGGCATGACAGCTCCTCATCCCCAGTTGCTCATCCCTGCCCAGCATGCAGTGCTCACCCTGAGCTCCAGGCACAGCCTGGGCTGACCTCAGGGAGCCCTGTGCCCTATACTCACCTCACAGTTGGGCACCTCGGCCTGTGCCACCCTTGTCACTTGGTCTGGCCTAGCATATATCCCTCCAGACTGGCTGAACCCCCAAAGGACTGTCAGCCTCACTCCAGTGCACTCCCTGGGCAGCTGCCACCCAGGTCCCCTCCCAGGACGCCATCCCCAGGCGGCAGCAGATGTCCTGCCCTCGTCCATTAACTGGCCAATGAGTCTGCTCCTGGGTCTCCTTGACCCCCTTCCTCTGGGTGTTGGGGTAGTATTGACCCTCCTGGTTCCTTTGTGGGAAGAAGATGGCAGGAGAGACAGGGAGGTACCTGCTACTGGAGGGGCACCTGAGGCTGGCCTCCCATGAGAGGCTCCTGCGTGTAGGAGGGCTCTGAGGAGCTCCAGGCCTGTCTCCCTGGATCCGTGGTGCCCTGTTCCCTGGTCACCCGAACCTGCTCAGTGTGTACCATCCTGGCACAGTTTCATCTTGTTTCTAGGATTGTCTCCTGGGTGTAATGCTCCGGCCCGGCCCCACTCCTCCCATGTGTGCACCCTAACCTGGCCCCGCCGGCCCCTCTCTCAGCTCTTCATGGGCCCTCTCTGTGTCTCTGTGTCCTCCTCTGCCTTCTGTAAGGACACCTGTGGGTATAGGGCCATCTCATCTCAAGCTCCTAGCCGGCTTGGCTTGTTAGGGCCCCTTTCCCCGTGAGCGCTCAGGCCCTGGGGCCCAGGCGTTTGAGCCTCTGTCCTGCCCACTGCACACCCAGGAGACCCACTTCTTTTGGCATCACCCCTTCAGTGGGGGCTCTCAAACACTGTGGGCACTGTCTGGGGGCCATGGGGCAGAGAGCAGCCACGTTGCCTCCAGAGGGGCCTGTGCTGTCAGGAGCAAGGCACGCTCCAGGGCAGCCTCCCAGAAGGCCAGTCCAGCACTGTCAGAACAACTTTCATGTTCAGCGCCATCACTTTAAGTGGTCAGCTTCAGCAAAGAGCACAGGGGTTGGGGGTCACCTCCTGGACACTGGGACAAGGCAGGTGCCACCCTCGGGGTGGCACATCATTGCCTGGATGGTGTGCTGCCGCCCCTCTACCAGCCCTGACTCCCTCCCCCCCCCACCCCGGTCAGCACTACCCAACTGCGTCCTGCATCCCAGGGTGGCCCTCCCTGGAGAGCTTCTGATTAAAGGGGCCTGTCAGTGGTGCAGGAGTCCAGGGTGGCAGGCCCCATATCAGGGAGCCTCCAGATTGCCAGCATCCCCGGTCCAGTGCCCCTTCCCAAGGCCCACTCCTGCAGGATCCACAGTGAAGAGCAGCCAGGTGGGAGGTGGAGGCCAGGCCCAGGCAGAGGTTGATGGGTGCCGACTCAGAGCTGGGTGCCCTGGCTTGCTGGGGCCTGTGTTGGTGAGCGGTCAAGAGGGCTGCCCCAGAGGAACACCAGGTGAAGTGCCCAGGCTGCAGGCCACCAGCAGGCCACAGAGGCCAACTTCGCATCTGCCTTCCTGGGCTGTCCCTGCCAGACCTAGGCCGATGGGGTGTCACGGGGTGCCACTGGCAGAGGGGATGCTCTGGAGAGGACCTGGATCTGCCAACTGCCCACTGCCCACAGGGCCAGCCTGGACTCCAGGACAGGGGACTTTCAGGGAGCACCCTGCCCAGCCAGCCCTCTGGTGGGAGCTTCTTCCACCCTGCCATGAGACTCCTCCCCAGGAGGGGTCTAGGCACAAGGGTAGGCATCATGGGAGGAGGAATAGGGCCCCTCAGTAGTCCCGTAAACTGGGCAGGGCTGACCCCTTCTCCAAAGAGGAGAGAGCACGCTTGAGTGGGGTGTTATGGGCAGATGAGATCATGGGTGATTTCTGCCTTTTTAATTTATTCTGAGAGAATGAGGGTAAAGATAAAAAAGCACATTTGATTTGCTTGTTATAACAGAAATGGAATTTTAAAGAACATGGAAAAAGAGAAAACATTCCAAAATCCCTCAGCCAACACTAGCTACTATGCAAGATTTTTAAATTTTAGCTCTGAGCTTCCTGGTAGGCTGAGCAAAAAGGGCAACAACATGAACTATGTGCTGTTGGGAGCTGGGACTTACCGTGATGGTCTCAGACCAGACTTTCTGGTCTTTTTGCCCCTTCATTCACTCACATCTCTAGACCTCAAGTCCTGACTTTTGATTTGGAAAATGTGGTTGCTCTCAGATGAGCAAAGATGGGAGACCAGAGCTGTCTGCAGGCAGAGGAGAGAGGTGTGGTAGGAGCTGAGAGCTCAGACTGTCCTGGTGTGCACCCATCTGAAGCGGGGGGCTCCCACGCCCCATCCAAAGCCTGGCATAGTCAGGCTGCTTAGCCAAGGTAGAAGGGCAGGAGGCAGCCACAGGGGAGGCCAGGGGAGGGCAGCGGAGTCCAGCAGGGAGGGGCTCAGGCCCCGACAGACAGCTGGAGGGCCAGGCCAGTAGCCGCTGAGCAGCTCAGAAATCTATTTTCCTAAGCACTTGGCATTTGCCTGAAACCTCAAGTGTATTTTCCCTAAGTTTTATTTTTTCTTTGACCCCAAACTCTGGTAAATCCAAGGGAAATTTAATTATGGTGTTTTGGGTCCATTTACACTTAAACCCGCTCAGCATTTTTCCAGGGCCCTTCTGGAGTTCAGCACGCCTTGGGAGCCTGCTAAATGAACGTTTTCATTATTATTATTTTTTGAAAAGGCCTCCCTCCCCTCCCCACCCCCTTCCTACCAAAAATAAACAAGCCCAACTCCAAGCTCCAGCTGAGTCAGGCGTCCAGGCCACCCGACCCACGCCTCCGCAGCCCCACCGTCTCCACCGCAGAATGCCCACTCCTCCTGGTCCTGCCGGCTCTTCTGGGCACCCCCGGGCAGCACGGCCAGTGCCCTGTTCAGAGCCTCACCCCACACCCTTGACCCTGCCATCCCTGCACCCAGCCACCACACACAAGTCCCAGCACAATGTCCAACCAGAGCCCGAGAGTCCAGTTTGGCCAGCTGGGCCTGGGGACAGTGGGGGTCTCAACCTCAGCCACTGTGGCCCTCCACAGGACGATGTGGGTTGGGCAACCCCTGTCCTGCATGGCAGGGAGGACGGTGAGGTCAGCACAGACAGAGGCCCTTTCATCAGCGCTGTTTAGGGAAGTGGGGAAACTGAGGCACAGATCACCCTGTGGCCTGGCCTGCCGAGGGGCCCAGTGGCCACAGGACTGCCTTGCTCTTTGGAGGTTTCAGCTGGGCTTGGAGAGGGTGGAGTGTTCTCTGCAGCATTCAGGGAGCCGGGGACATTTGGGGC